TTTTCCACTGTGTCCATGGGATAACGTACATCAAAAACTGCGCCCCAAATCTCGTCTTCAACCCAAATTGCTCTTGCTGTATCTACCCCTAAAGAGTTGCACATTAATCATCTTCCTCTACATAAGTGGTAATTCTTACCAATTCAAGCGGGGCACTGTCAAAAGGTGTTATATATATAATTTCTTATGATTCTTCACTGTTATGTGTAAAAAATACTTAACATTGGGTTTGCTTGATCTTTCTAGGTCTCACTCATCTACATGTCAATTTTGAAAACACCATTTACACATGTCAGCATTAACATTTTCAGATGAATCATTCAACACAACCCATAAACTCACCATTGTTGAAGAGATATGCTCCCATACATATTTGTCACTAGACAATATGATTTATATTATTTCATCTATATAATATGAAGTATTTGTACTGTGTATGTACAAGTGTTGTCCTATTGCAGTCTTTTAATTGTAGGAATATATACATCAGTTGTGAGTGAAGGTTCTTGTTCTCTTTTCTGCCTTAATTTAATCTGAGATATCTGTTGTGTGAATCTAACCTTATTTTTTGGATGTGTGCTTCTTGGTTTATATCTAGCCATCACATGATTGGATTTGTCTTTCAATAAAATAATGATTAAGAAAATACCACTAAATACCTACATTTTGTTTAGTTTGGTTATCCTGTATCTATTCCTTGTCTAGCTGGTGTTTATAGAAGACACAAAATACTGTGCAAACACGCCACCTACCTGGCACTCAAAAAAAAACCATTCAAATGAAGTTATGAAGAAGAAAGGGAAGGCAAAGGTCAGCCTCTTTCAGCTACCCAAGAACATTTTGAACATTTTTCCTATGGGTGGAATCTTACTGTGGGTTTTATCTGCACCCAGCACAACCTGAAGTTACCCCAGAATAACCACTCTCATACTCTCTCACTCACACACACACACACACACACACACACACACACACACACACACACACACACACACACACAAACACAGTCTTTTTAACCAACCAACCTTTGACATCAATAGTAAAAACATTTTAAAAGAAGTTCTGCAGTGATCAAAGACATTAAAAACAAAGCCAAAGCAACAACAAGATTAAAAATATGTAACCTGAGGTAGTTGTAGGTCAGACACAAAAAAAGAAGTTGCGTATCTAATTTATTGGTAAGCTACAACAAATAGTGATGTTTTATTTTAAAGGAGCTAACACTTGCTTCATAGCGTATAAGTAGGTCAGAGATGTATTTAGTCTCAAGACCATTTAGCGCTTTATAGACGAGCCACAGCATTTTAAAAGCTATCAATTGATGCAAAGGAAACCAGTGCAGTGATTTAAGGACTGACCGATGTGATGTGCTCTACTTTCTTGGTGTTAGTGAGGACTCTGGCAGCAGCATTCTGGATGAGCTGCAGCTGTCTGGTTGAGGACACCGCAGCTAAAGTTGTTTGTCAAACATTTCTTGACATCACAGTCACCTTCTGCAATGAGAGATAAATTACTGTGAAATGTAAAAAGCATGTTGGTTGGAAAGAGACTCTTTACTCGTGACACAGAGTGGAACAACCTGTGCACTGTGCTCAATAAGGGGTTATGTAACATTCGTTTTGCTCACTAATGTTGGTTGGGCACATTGGGAGATATTTTAACAAAAAACTAAATAGCGCCATAATTTTTTTTTTATATGAACAATGACTAAAATGACTCCCTATAATGTGAAAATGCTGCTAATATTGAAATGCTTTGAGAATTAACACTCTGATCAGCAGGACTACCAGAAAATATTGTTTCCCACTTTTTTCTACTCACTATTTCAGGGAACATCTTACCACAACATTCAGTATCAACATATTTGCGATTTGCAATAGAAGTAAATGAACATTTCCTCATTATGTTACTTAAAAATATGATTTGTTCCCAACTACATTTCCTTCATCTTTGCTGTTGCAAATTAGTTCTATATAAAGGTACTTTACATGAGACCACTGTTTTTTTTTTCAAATTTGTCATTACTGTTCAGTAGTTTGTCAATACAGTAATAACAACAAGGTGGTAGTTAGGTGTTTCTCACTCAACGGGTGTGTATGCTATTTGTGTGGTTGTTTAAAACAATGTTTTAGGACATGACTTATGTCATGATACTTTCTGCTATGTAAATAATTGCATCCTTTGTCATAAAAGCTTACCTTTTGTGTGGGTGTGTTCTTCTTGGTTTATTTTTACACAATGTAATTAGATGTACCTTAAATGATGATGCTGCTTCAATAATTCTAGCCTTGTTCTGCCCACTTATTGTTTCTTTGTCTTTAACAATTGTTGTCATTTGGAAGACCTTATATCACATCATGAGTTGTTTAACATAGTTGTTGATTTCAGCTAGTTCATTAGCTGCTGGCAGTGAAAACTAGCTTTTTGACTGATTATGTGAGAGAGAAAACAGTGTCTATAATGACAATGTGTCTGGTTTGAGTTCACCTAAGGGCCTTTGTTGCATGTCATTTATCCTCTATTCCCTAAGTTTCTGGTATCTCTTTACTGTCACTACGAACTAAAGCCAAAAATTGCAGACGAATTTTTAAAGGGTGTCTTTTGTACAAGTATTTCCATTTTTCTGGTTCCCCAGTATAGATTTCCAGTTTTATGCTACTTGCTACTGACAGCTTAGAATGATGATATTATGATAAATACAAAGTTGAGCCACTGTGTTGTCTTCCACTGTCTTCTTATTTTTCATAAACTCAAAAGGATTCTGACATGAGGTGACTTTGTACTTTTGTCTCTGTTTCTATAAGTGTCTTAATTGCTTTGGACATCGTAACCCTGAATTAATTATCTCCACCCTGTTTAACTACTACCACACCCTGTAAGAGCTATCTACCCAATTTAACAGCCAGAGACCCATCAGTCATTCTTCATTCGTCACAGCGGAGAGACAGTATATGCTTCTTTCACCTTTATCTTTGTAAGTAACCATTTTGCTCACATTTTATTGAATAACATTTACACAGATTTAGTTGTTTCTATGTATACCACTATACCTACTAAAATGCTTTAAGTCATTCGCTAAACTAGACATATGTCATGGGTGGTGGGGTGTCAAAGCAGCAGGCGCTGTATAGTAGGCTAATGTTAAGATAACTTTGTGCTTTACCTATTATGAGCATGTTGTGATTACTATCAGGCATAAAGCAGTGTTGTTTCACAAAACAGGAAGTTAATTGATCAAAGTTGATTGATTATAGGCATATAGTAACCAGTCTGTTCAGATCAGACCTGGGGCTGTATTGTCAGGTTTTCTGTGATTAAACACTCACAATACAACAATACATACAATAAAAAAGAGAAACCTGATATCCAAGCAAGAGCTTCATTGAGAATGCAGAGCTGCAACCATGACTGTAAATAATTTACAACGCAGCAGTTGTATCATTTGTCTGGAAATTACATTTTTCACTCAATTTTGATCACTTTTCTTTTATTCTTTTAATTACGCCAACGTGTTTTAAAGTTTTCTTTGTGCATTGTAATACAACAGCTTGCTTTGTTCTTCAAAATTTCCAGATGCTCTTTGGTCACTGATTGAATCATAACCTATAACCCTGATAAAGGTAAGGGAGAACATCATGTGTTTAAAAAAAAGCATATGTTTGGTTTTGACTATGTGTTGGTACAGTTGCATTTTCCTGCCAGTATTCTCACTCTTCTTTCAAACTGCCATTGTTAAAGGAGATAATTAAACAATGCTGCATAATTACTATCATCACCATCCTGCTATGCAACATTTTTTTCAAACCACTAATTATCTGCCCCATCTTTTAGTGGTATGAGGAGCATGTTAGCTGTGGCTTACATCTTAAGTACAAAACCACACCAACTGTGTACAATGCACATCAAAATAATTGTTCACATACTGTTCAGAGTAAACCCAGCAGCTGGGTGTGTAGAGGCACTGGTGAAAATAAAAGGAATCCTTAATGCTATATCAAACTTCATGCTATCTTGTGTAGTCTTGTTGAAATGACATGTTGCGTCACATTTGATTTGTGCTACAGGCATTACAATTTACATGATAGGGCAGTGGCTGGTGTTCTTAAAATGCTAAAATATTTTGACACAATTCATTTTTAATTATCTCTGCATACAGGTTGTATTAAGAAATCTGACCTATTTCAGGGTGAATTAAAAGCGTTTTTATGGCTCACTGTCACAGGGGTTGCAACAGCTGAACTCATACTGGGTATAAAGCTTAAAATGACATTATACATTACAGACCATCTTGCAATGGGATCACACCAGCAGCATCGCCCGTCAACCTGTTGACATGCCAACTCATGAGTCATTAGTATTCATGTAATAATGCAGTCATTACTACATTATTAAATGAGTAGTCAGCACTCATGGGTCAGACCACACCCATTTTCGAAATCGAACTTCATTTTGATCTCAATAACACACCTGTAAAGTTAAACACCTGTCAAAGTCCTAAACCAAACTTTGTGTGGCAACAAATAATTATTTCTCCGAAATCTCTCAGAACATTCTGTATAAATACCCAGTATTTTTGAGAGAAATGTTTTTGACTGAACTTTGACTGCTGGTAGAACTTTCGTTTTCAGTTTTGCCGTCTTAGATCAACAAATGTGTGTTTTTGACATTATAAAAGAAACCAAATACAGAATTCTCCTAAACCTCATGGAACCTAACTACACAGTCTCCTTGTCAGTCACCATATCAGTCTAATGTGTTAATGTCAATGAAGACCTTCATTACATCGAAGAAAGGGCTTGCCCATTAAAAATAAAATTTAAAATAAAGCTACTGAAATGCCTTTGAAGCTGTAAATATAATGGGTATTGATTGTATTAAAAATGTCCAGTTTCCTGAGTTGAAATGCTTTTTGGGTGCCCAAAGTAAAGATTTGTGTGAAAATGTTCAAGTTACAATGATTTTGAATTTCTTCTATTTCTTTTTATCCATATAGCATCAACATGTGCAAGCCAATTCTGACTGCAGGTAAGGCACACTGATCCAGTAAATGGTTTCTTAAATAATCAGTTCACCCAAATCAGAAACACATTTCACACTTATATTGACAAGAAAAAGTAAGTTAATGCGCTGGAATTACTTTTATATGTAAGATTTGTCTTCAAATATGGTCACAAAGTTACAATTATCAAGAAAAACAATCTATAACTAACACAGAACTAATAACACACAAATCATTGTATTGTTCTCATGCATCTTGAATACATTATTCAAATATTCAGCGTAGGTTGGAAAACCTGTGAAACCCTAATGCTAATGACACAAGCTAACTGGAGCCAGGAGATAGAAAACGTTGAGTCCATACAATGAAAGCTTGGAGGTGTGGGTTAGAGCTACTTTAATCTCAGAAGACTAATAAACCAGACTTGTTGATTTGCATAAAGCTGGGAAGGGTTACAATGTTAAAGGGTTGTCAAAAAAATCAATACTCAGATACTAATCGATTATACTCATTTGCAACATTATCGATACCGACGGTGCCGTCTTCACCTCCTCCAGTTGACACACAACTTCATACAGCACCGCTGCAGAAAGGCAGGCATACAGCCCCTCCCCTCACTTGCAGCTGAACACATGAATGCTAGTTGATGTTCACAACACTGAGCTGGTGTCACCAGCATAAAACTAAATTAACATGGCAAGTGCTGCTGCCGAAGGGCCTTCGTGACCTGTTTTAGCTGAAATTGAAAAAAGCAATAGTGCCGTTTGGAATTATTTTGCGTTATTATTTTATCTGGCCGGCAGAATACATAAACGTTAGCCGTTTAACTATTATCAATTAGCCGATAGCCACATTAGCTGTTTTTTTAAGTTATCATTAAGCTAACGGCTAGCAGCTGTGGCTAATAATAAAATGACTGAGTCTACCATACACAAATCATGGTGCATGGCTGCACGGAGCATGGAGCATGGAGTCGATGGCAGGAGAAGCGAAGCAGCTGTTTTCCTAAAAAATATCACTGTGTGCCCGAAGTTTGCCAAACAGCACCTTAGGAAAATACTATGCTACTAGGAAACTCTTTGGTGGACTGATGAAACTGAGATTGAATTGTTTACAAAAAGATGAGTGGAAAGTTGTTTGTGTTGCTTACCACTTTGAAAGATTAACTTAAATAAATCAACAGGAATCTGTTTTTCTGTGTCTCCATTACACTGGATAATTCACAAATTCACATAACATGTACAGTGAGGTTTGTGGATTATCAGTAATATTGTAGATTGTTTGTCGCTGATTTTAACACGTAAAATTAAATTCCATTCACCCCTAAGAATAAATTTTTGGTCATTTGGATGAACTTTGTTTTTAATCTCATGTTCTGTCATTCTCACTGAAGGTCTCTGTTTGATCATCGCCAGCTTGGGTAAGTTTATAGCACATAAATTTATTCTAATCGACAGTCTAACTAGAAAACAAGGGATTTGATAAAACTTCTGTCTTCAAAAACGAATTAAATCCTTTTTAAAACAATTTTTTCCTTGTCTCAGCCTCTTCCTCCAGGCTGGTGTGTTACTATGACAGCTTGGCTGAAGATAGAGCGGAGGACGGGAAGTTCAGGATTTCAAACATTAATCCGAACCAGTGTACCCATCTGATTTTCGCCTTTTCTGACATTAGCAGTGTGAATGCTCTGGTCCCCAGCAGAGACACTGACAAACAGCTCTATCAGTCCTTTAATGGACTCAAAACCAGGTCAGACCTGTAGCCTCTCAATATTTTGGAAATTATGTTCAATTTTGTGTTTTTTTTAGTTTTTTTTTTTTTTTAAATAATCATCACTAAACTTTGATGCTCCAACAGAAATCTGCTGCTCAAAACCCTGTTGGCAGTTGGTGGCATAACATTTAACAGACAAAAGTAAGTTAACATGCACAAGAGCATTTGATCATTTTTTATAATTAACTTTTTATAATATTTCTTGAATTTTTCATGCTGTATTTGTGCATTGCACAATATGTATGACACATGGTTTCACAAAATTGAGGTAGCACAAGGTGAGGTGCTGTGATATTTTGATTATATTAATACATTTATTAAATGATTACATCATGAGATACAAACGAAATGTGTGATGTAAATTTGAAGCAACTGCCTAATAATGCAAATAAACACTTCAATATAGTCCAAAATGTAGACAATTTTGACTTACAATGATATTTACTACCAACCCTAAATTAGTTTTGTGCAAAATAATCAAATATTAGAGTGTGTGCACATAAAAGAGGTCAAAAAATTATAATATATGTTAATTATTTTACTTATGTTACAAAAAGAATGAGAATGAAAAAAATGTATTGTCTATGTTACGCCATTCCTTGTTTGAATGTAATCTGAACTATAATTTAACACACATTTTTACTTTTTATTTTATACCTACTTGCTTCTAATAGTTGTTAAAAATTTAAATTTAAAAATGGTAGCCTACTAAAGATGTCAGTTACTACAAATTATACTTCGATAGATGATGAGGACACTGTTTTGTACTAATCTTTACCAGATTCAGTACGATGGTGTCAACACAATCAAGAAGAGCAATGTTCATCCAGTCTGCTATCAAACTACTGAGAACATATGGTTTTGATGGGCTCAACCTGGACTGGAGGTTTCCCGCAGCAGCAGGAAGCCAATCAGACAACAAGCAGAAATTTACACTGTTGTGCCAGGTCTGATCCTTTCTTCTGGGACTCTCAGAAATATTCCATACGTTACATTTATATATTTAAGTTTTTAAACTTGATTGAGACTGAACTGTGCTTTCTTCTTGTGTAGGAGCTCAAAGCTGCCTTTGTGGCTGAAGGAACTGAAACAAACCGTGACAGATTAATCCTCACTGCTAGTGTCTCTGCTGAGAAGGCGGTCATCGATGCCAGTTATGAAGTCGCACAGATTGCCGGGTAAACTATTTTAAAGTCACTCTTGACACTATACTTGTGATTAGCTGTTGAGGTGCTTTCGTCAACGTGATCTTCTCTGCATTTTACCAGGAACCTGGATTTCATTAATGTGCTGACATTTGACTTTCGCGGCCCCTGGGAAAATGTAACAGGACATCACAGCCCCTTACACCGGGGATCCAAAGATACTGGAGACAAAATCAACTCTAATACTGTAAATACCAGGATTCATACTTAAACTGTCTGACCCCCTATCTATTTATAGTTGTCATCCTAATTGTTTTTCCCTCACATTTTAGGAGGATGGCATGCAGTACTGGAGGGACCAAGGAGCACCAGCACAATTGCTAAACTTGGGACTGGCAACGTATGGACGAGCTTTTACCCTATCTTCTCCATCCACTGATGTTGGAGCACCAGCCAACGGCACTGGTGAAGAAGGTTGCTACACTGGTGAAGATGGATTCTGGGCCTATTATGAGGTATTATTATATTATTATGCTGTGTACATATATTTTAATTAATAATGTACACTAATGGCTTTCACTGCGTAGTGTGACAAATTTCATTAGCTCTAAATATATTGTTTCCCCCTTCCTTTCAGACTTGTCTTTATATTGAAGGGGCTCTAATCCAGCTGATTACTGATCAGAAAGTTCCATACGCCCTCACAGAAAATCAGTGGGTTGGATTTGATAACAAAGAAAGCTTTGAAACAAAGGTAATCATCTGTTTAATTCCATAATAACTTTGCAAATGAATGATAGTTGATGGATAGTTGATGGAATGATGGTTAAATCATTTCAGCTGGTGTGTTTTTTTCTTCATCCTCTCAGGTCAGCTACCTGAAAACAAACAACTTTGGAGGAGCTTTTGTCTGGTCTCTGGACCTGGATGACTTTACTGGAAAATTCTGTAATGATAGCAAATATCCTCTCATCAGCCATGTGCATGATCTCCTTGTTCCAGGTGACAAAAATGCAATAAGTGTCCGCTGTATCCTGTGATGAGGTGGTGGTTTTTCATTTGATTTAATGCCATCAGCATTAATCTTATCATCTTTTATTGATTTTACTACTTTTAGTTACACATAGCGCAATTGTGTTCTCTCTCTGTTTGAAAGTCCAAGTGCTCATGCTCATTGATATTAAAGTATGACGTGATGATCAAGAAGGGTTAAACAGCAATTAACACAATATTTGATTTTGATTCTTTCAGATTTTCCAGACCTTAGCACAACCACAACTCCCACTACTACAACTACAACTTCTACTACTACAATGACAACTCCCACTACCACAACTCCCACTACCATAACCACAACTCCCACTACTACAACCACAACTCCCACTACTACAACTACAACTCCCACCAACATAACCACAACTCCCACTACTACAACCACAACTCCCACTACTACAACTACAACTCCCACTACAACTCCCACTACTTCAACCACAACTCCCACTACAACTCCCACCACCACAACTCCCACTACCATAACCACAACTCCCACTACAACTCCGACCACCACAACTCCCACTACAACTACCACCACAACTCCAACTACTACAACTACAACTCCCACCACCACAACTCCCACTACTTCAACCACAACTCCCACCATCACAACTCCCACTACTTCAACCACAACTCCCACTACAACTCCCACCACCACTACTCCCACTACCACAACTACAACTCCCACTACAACTCCCACCACCACTACTCCTACTACTACAACTACAACTCCCACCACCACATCTCCCACTACCATAACCACAACTCCCACTAGTACAACTACAACTCCCACTACCACAACCACAACTCCCACTACTACAACCACAACTCCCACTACAACTCCCACCACCACTACTCCCACTACCACAACTACAACTCCCACTACAACTCCCACCACCACTACTCCCACTACCACAACTACAACTCCCACTACAACTCCCACCACCACTACTCCCACTACCACAACTACAACTCCCACTACAACTCCCACCACCACTACTCCCACTACCACAACTACAACTCCCACTACAACTCCCACCACCACTACTCCCACTACCACAACTACAACTCCCACTACAACTCCCACCACCACTACTCCCACTACCACAACTACAACTCCCACTACAACTCCCACCACCACTACTCCCACTACCACAACTACAACTCCCACTACAACTCCCACCACCACTACTCCCACTACCACAACTACAACTCCCACTACAACTCCCACCACCACTACTCCCACTACCACAACTACAACTCCCACTACAACTCCCACCACCACTACTCCCACTACCACAACTACAACTCCCACTACAACTCCCACCACCACTACTCCCACTACCACAACTACAACTCCCACTACAACTCCCACCACCACTACTCCCACTACCACAACTACAACTCCCACTACAACTCCCACCACCACTACTCCCACTACCACAACTACAACTCCCACTACAACTCCCACCACCACTACTCCTACTACTACAACTACAACTCCCACCACCACATCTCCCTCTACCATAACCACAACTCCCACTAGTACAACTACACCTCCCACTACCACAACCACAACTCCCACTACTACAACCACAACTCCCACTACAACCCCCACCACCACTATTCCCCCTACTACAACCACAACTCCCACTACAACTCCCACCACCACAACTCCCACTACCACAACTCCCATTACTACAACTACAACTCCCACCACTACAACCACAACTCCCACTACAACTCCCACCACCACAACTCCCACTACCACAACTCCCACTACCAAAACCACAACTCCCACTAGTACAACTACAACTACAACTCCCACCACCACGACTCCCACTACTACAACCACAACTCCCACAACCACGATCACAACTCCCACTACCACAACTCCCACTACCACAACCACGATCACAACTCCCACTACCACAACCACAACTCCCACTACTACAACCACAACTCCCACTACAACTCCCACCACCACAACTCCCACTACTACAACCACAACTCCCACTACAACTCCCACCACCACTACTCCCACTACTACAACTACAACCCCCACAACCACAACTCCCACTACTACAACCACAACTCCCACTACAACTCCCACCACCACTACTCCCACTACTACAACTACAACCCCCACAACCACAACTCCCACTACTACAACCACAACTCCCACTACAACTCCCACCACCACTACTCCCACTACTACAACTACAACCCCCACAACCACAACTCCCACTACTACAACCACAACTCCCACTACAACTCCCACCACCACTACTCCCACTACTACAACTACAACCCCCACAACCACAACTCCCACTACTACAACCACAACTCCCACTACAACTCCCACCACCACTACTCCCACTACTACAACTACAACCCCCACAACCACAACTCCCACTACTACAACCACAACTCCCA